AACATTAGGAACCTCACTGTCACGAACTTAAGTCTCTACAACTGCTCCCATCGGTCATGGAAATACTACAGCCTGATAGCTCTTGAGGTTCTAGAGACCTTGAATTTGAGAATAGACACTATTGACATTCATAACACTGTTGGAGTGGGCCTCTCGCTATCTGACCTCTACGGTGACACCATCATAGACCGTACTACTGTTGATTCAAGTAAAAATACAGCCAAATACAAAGGTGGTAATTTTGCTTATAAATGCTCACTTTTGGCTGTGTACGACACGATTGGAAATCAGGTGAATGTTTCCAACTCCAATTTCAGATATGGGTACAACGCTTATAATCATTCATTGGAGGCTAGTGGTATCTTTATTGAAATACAATGTTCTGCAAACATAAGACTTACCTTTGACAATATTCATCTCTTGGGAAATCGTGGTAATAACGGGGGGAATGCTTTCATATGGCTCAACATTTTCTCCAAAGCGTGGACTACCTCCGTTTCTTTTCTAAACTGTTGGATAGTCAATGGAAATTCTGATTCTGGAGGTGGTCTCTGCATGATTGCCTCAGCTGGTGGAAGAGGTGATTATGACAATTCCAGTACAATTTTGCGAGTGGAAGATACTCATTTCCACAATAACACTGCTAGCTATGTTGGAGGTGCAGTTTACTTGAGACTGCACCAAAATTCTCCCATGGATCTTGGAAGAATAGAATTTACTAAAAACTGTACTTTTACCAACAACAAACTTGTTTATCCATCTAAGACCTCACACGGAGGTGTAGCTGTCCACATTATCACCTATGTACTTCCTGGATACGAGCAACACAAGATGCTTTATTTTATGGTGAATTTTAGTGATTGTCTGTTTGAAGGCAACTTTCTGGAGCAGAATAAGCGTACTACTATAAGTCCGCCACAAACGGGAACTCTCTATGCCGAGAATGTACAGATGATAACTTTACATAACAGTAAAGTTATAGACAATAATTGCTCTGGAATTGCTGGCATAAACAGCAATTTTCTTTTCCGTGGAAAGAATGAGGTGAGCGGAAACAGAGCATTTACAGGTGGTGGGATTTTCTTTTGTGACAGCTCAATGATGCACCTTTACAATGGGACAGAGTTGAATATCACACACAACCATGCTACACTGAATGGAGGTGGGATATACGTCGACGGAGAATGTTCTCCAGCTGTGGAGTATTGCTTCTTTCAGGTGGACAATATAACGGCTGACAATGCTACCCTCCAGCAAACACAAGTCCGTCTCATCAATAACACTGCTGATTCTGGGAGTGCCCTTTATGGAGGCCTGATAGATAAGTGTTTTCTCTTTGATAAGAGAGGGCAGAAGTACAATCACTCATATCCTTCTATAATCTTTGATAACACATTCCACATCGAACAAGAGAAACACTTATCTGTCATATCATCTGACCCCATGTATGTTGGATTCTGTGTGATCAATTCATCCACTACTGAACTCAACCTCAATAACTGCCCACTTGACCACAGTGTGGTAATATACCCAGGACAAACATTTGATGTCCATGCCGTCATCATGGGTCAACGCTATGGTCTGGTCACTGGGGTTGTAGATGCTGTTTGCGTCAATACAAGCTGCTCACTTTCCTCAAAAGAACACAGCCAATTCATAAGTTCTAGTGGATGTTTGACCTATACTGTGTTTTCAACAGAGAACAGAAATCTATCACTGGAATTAGTGGCCCAAGATTACTATTCAAGATATCCCTTATACCAATACCGGCCCTCCTGGATAATAGTCACTGTTGAAAAATGTCCACTTGGATTTATTGAACACAACAAGAGCTGTACATGTGTTGGAGATTTCCAATGCAATATCACAAACCATTCAATTTATCGATTAAGTCCTCAATGGATTGGCTACGCTCAACAGTGCCGTATCAACAATAGAAAGGCAATAATTCTACACCACTTCTGTCCACTAGGGTATTGTCTCAACAGAAACATACACATTAATACAACGATAGACTGTTTCTGGCGAGACATGCAGTGTGCCAAGAACAGAACTGGTCTTCTCTGTGGGAAGTGCAAACAGAACTACAGTTTGGGGTTTGGGTCTTCTCAGTGTCTGGCTGGTTGCAGTACACCTCACAGGTATGTCCGGTACCTCAGAGTCATTGGACTGACGGCAGTGTGTGCTGTGGCCGGAATCTTGCTGGTGGTTCTGCTGACTCTGCTCAACCTCACTGTGGCTGAAGGAACACTCAATGGACTCGTCTTCTATGCCAACATTGTACAAGTCAACCAGGACCTGTTCTTCCCTTCTGACACTCACGCTAGACCCTGGACTGCCTTCATTGCATGGCTGAATCTGGACTTTGGAGTCACAGTGTGTTTCTATCATGGCATGGATGCCTACGTGAAGACTTGGCTACAGTTCATCTTCCCTCTATACATTTGGATCATCAGTGGAGGAATAGTCTACTTCAGCAGGAAATCTAGAAGGATCTCAAAACTTGCGGGAAAGAATTCTGTAAAGGTTTTGGCCACACTTTTCCTCCTCTCATTTGGCAAACTGATACGCACCATTATCGCTGTTGGATTTTTCACTAATGTCAAGTCATACGATGAAACGATCAATATCTCAGTGTGGCGTCTTGATGCTAATATCCAATACCTTCAAGGGAAGCACATTACACTGTTTGTGGTGGCATGTTTGGCTGGATGTGTGGCTCTCCTCTATGCCCTCATCCTTACCTTCATTCAGTGCCTGAGAAGAGCTCCCAACAGCAGAATGTGTGGGTGGATCCAGAGACTCAAACCTCTACTGGATGCCTACACTGGTCCCTACAAGAACAAGTACCACTTCTGGACTGGGTTCCTACTCCTTGTGAGATTTGCTCTCTTCACTTCCTTTGCAGCAAATTTTGAAAACAATCCTATACTGAACTTTACGCTGATCATAACTGTCTCCAGCATTCTCATGATAGGAATTCAGAAAGGTATATACCAGAAGAAAGTTATTGGTTTGCTTGAGAGTTCAGTGTATTTAAACCTAATCCTCTTCTCAGCATTCACAATTCTGTCAATGAAGTCAGATCCAACACAGAAAACTCTTGTCGTGTGTGTGTTTGGTGGGTGGGCTTTCCTGACACTAGTGGGCATCATCCTCTATCATGGCTACAAGAACTGGCTTAAAGACTCTCTTCTATTGGGCCACTTGCAAGTGTGGTTCTATGCAAGGTTGAGGGGCAGTGGTGATCCTAACAGAGCAGTCATACGACCACTGATCATCGGGAGAGATGGAAATGATGTGTCACAGGAAAGTGATAGTGAGTTCGAGTCTGGAGAGGAACTTAGTGACCAAGTCACTCCACAGCTTCGGGAGTCCCTCATTGGGAGCATAAACAGCTAACACTGTTTAACATAACCCACTTTTCACAGTAATTTCTCAAGTGCATGCATTTATGAATTTTAGTGTAAACTCAGTGAGTTGTTTATGTTTTAGAGGAACTGGTTTTACACTCCACTTCATCCTAAAGATAAACTGCCCAACACGACCTAAATACAACAGCACAATCTTTATCTTACAGTTAGTTAGAAATGGCGGTGGTGGCTCTGGTTCTGTGTGTGTATCTTCTCTCAGTAGCCAGTCAAGGAGTGGTAGGAGACAAGGTGTACACTGTGGTGGCAAACCAGTCGGCCAGTAGCTGTCTCAGTGAGAACAAGACAGAGTGCAGTCTCATGTACTATGCTGCTCACCCAGACCAGTATTTCAGAGAAGACAACACCACCTTCCACTTCCTGCCTGGACAACATGAACTGGTGGACTCAACTCTTGTTCTGATGGCCAACATATCAAACCTCGCTCTCTATGGAACTGATGTACATGAAGTTACAGTGGTGTGCAGTGGAGAAGATTCAGGAGGATTCTCATTTTACAACGTTACCAACCTCACTGTCATGAATTTGACAATCTTCAACTGCTCTCATTGGTCCTGCTGGAGGAACGACACTTTGGTAGCTGTTGAGATTATGGAGACTTACAATTTGAATATTGATAACATTGTCATCAATGAAACTCCTGGAGTGGGTCTTGAACTAACTGATCTTTCTGGTGATACAATGATAAATCACATAGCTGTTGATTCAAGTCACAACACATCTGAATCAAGAGGTGGTAATTTTGCTTATCATTGCTTCAATACAAACAATACAATTGTTAATCATATGAATATTTCAAATTCTTTTTTTCGATATGGATACAATATGTACGGTATAAAGCTGAAAGCAGTGGTATTTATTGATATTGATTTTTGTTCTGCTACTATCAACGTGGTGCTGGACAATGTTTATCTTGAGCATAATCATGCTAAAAGTGGTGGTAATATTTTGATGGATATTGGTGATCGCTCAGGTATGTGGAATGTTTCTATTTTGATTATGAACAGTTGGGTGTACAATGGAACAGCTGATAGTGGAGGTGGTCTCTGTGTGACTCCTATAGCTCTTGGTTTTGGTTATGTCACCAAGAAGCATTCCAGCAGCATTTTGAGAGTAGAAAACACACACTTTGTAAAAAACACAGCACTTTTTAATGGAGGTGCAGTGTATATAAAATTACACGATAGTTACCCTGCAGCATTGGGAAGACTTCACTTTATCAATACCACTTTCGCTAACAATAGCATTAATTATTCATCGGATATCCTAACACATGGAGGAATAGCTGTTCATATTTTCACCGACTCTCTACCTGGATATCACCAGCACAAGGCAATTTTCTTCAAATTCGTATTTGCTGAATGCTTATTCCAGCATAATTATTTGGAGCAGAGTGGGCCTAGTGACAGTGCGAGTCTGCCACGAACTGGAGCTCTATATGCTGCAGACACTCAAAGCATCACTTTAAGGGATTGCAGACTTATTGAAAACAATTGTTCTGGTATTGTTGGTATGCACACTAACTTTTTACTAAGTGGCAAAAATGAGATTAGGGGAAACACGGCAGATAAAGGCGGTGGAATATTTTTCTGTTCTCGCTCCATGATGCATCTTCACAACGGCACACAATTAATCATCACTGACAACTATGCAACCTTCAGTGGAGGAGGGATATATGTTGAGAGTGAATGCTCTCCAGTTGTGGAAATTTGCTTCTACCAGGTGGACAATATAAAAGCTGACAATGCAACTCTTCACCAAACACAAGTCCATTTAATCAACAACACTGCCAATGCTGGGAGTGCCATATATGGAGGTCTGATAGACATCTGTATCCTATATGAAAAACCACCATATATTAAAGTGGACCCTTCAAAAATCTTTGACGCTACCTTTCACATCAGCAAAATAAAGGATGATGTATCTGCCATATCATCAGACCCACTGTATGTAGGATTTTGTGAGATCAACTCATCCGTCACTGAACTCAATCAAACTAACTGTCCACTGAGCACTAGTAAACGGGTTAAACCAGGACAGACATTCAATGTCTCTGCTATCATTATGGGTCAACGCTACGGCCTTGTTTCTGGGGTAGTAGTTACACGATGCGATGGTTGTAGAATTAACAAAGAGGAATACACCAAATTTATTAACACAAGTGACGTAGCTGATAGATATTTGACTTTTACAGTGCTTTCAAAAGAGAACAAAAAATTGTCGTTGAAATTGGTTGCTGAGGATTACTACTCGGGATTTCCCTCCTACCGGTATCAAACCTCGTACATTAACATCACTGTTGAAAAATGCCCACTTGGTTTCATTGAGAAGGAGGGCAAGTGTTCATGTCTAACCCACATTAAATGTGATATAGCAACTCAGACCATTTATAGATCAAGTCCTCATTGGATTGGTTTCAATCAAGAATGCTGTATAAACAGTACAAAGGCCATAATATTTCATCGATTCTGTCCTCTGGGGTATTGCCGTGAGAAAAACATCTACATCAATGCAACAATCAATGATTTCGATCAAGATGTGCAATGTGCTAAACACAGAACTGGTCTCCTCTGTGGGAAGTGCAAACAGAACTGCAGTTTGGGGTTTGGGTCTTCTCAGTGTCTGGCTGGTTGCAGTACACCTCACAGGTATGTCCGGTACCTCAGAGTCATTGGACTGACGGCAGTGTGTGCTGTGGCCGGAATCTTGCTGGTGGTTCTGCTGACTCTGCTCAACCTCACTGTGGCTGAAGGAACACTCAATGGACTCATCTTCTATGCCAACATTGTACAAGTCAACCAGGACCTGTTCTTCCCTTCTGACACTCACGCTAGACCCTGGACTGCCTTCATTGCATGGCTGAATCTGGACTTTGGAGTCACAGTGTGTTTCTATGATGGCATGGATGCCTACGTGAAGACTTGGCTACAGTTCATTTTCCCTCTATACATTTGGATCATCAGTGGAGGAATAGTCTACTTCAGCAGGAAATCTAGAAGGATCTCAAAACTTGCTGGAAAGAATTCTGTAAAGGTTTTAGCCACACTTTTCCTCCTCTCATTCGGCAAACTGATTCGGACTTTTATTTTGCAGTATTTTTCACTAATGTCAAGTCACATGATGGGAAAGTCAACACCTCAGTGTGGCTGCTTGATGCCAATGTCCACTATCTTCATGGAAAACACATTAACTGTTTGGTGTGGCATGTTTGGCTGGAGGTGTGGCTCTCCTCTATGCCCTCATCCTTACCTTCATTCAGTGCCTGAGAAGAGCTCCCAAACAGCAGAATGTGTGGGTGGATCCAGAGACTCAAACCTCTACTGGATGCCTACACTGGTCCCTACAAGAACAAGTACCACTTCTGGACTGGGTTCCTACTGCTTGTGAGGATCTTTCTTTTTACTGCTTTTGCACTAAATTTTGATAACAACCCTATACTGAACTTCACTTTGATCATAACTGTTTCAACCCTGCTGATATCTGGAATCCAAAATGGCATCTATTACAACAGGTTTATTGGTTTGCTGGAGACTTCGGTCTACGCCAACCTAATCCTCTTTTCAGCGTTCTCAATGCTCTCAATGAAGTCAAGTGATGGTCACAAAAACTGTTGTCGTGTGTGTGTTTGGTGGATGGGCTTTCCTGACACTAGTGGGCATCATCCTCTATCATGGATACAAGAACTGGCTTAAAGACTCTCTTGTATTGGGCCACTTGCAAGTGTGGTTCTATGCAAGGTTGAGGGACAGTGGTGATCCTAGCAGAGCAGTCATACGACCACTGATCATCGGGAGAGATGGAAATGATGTGTCACAGGAAAGTGATAGTGAGTTCGAGTCTGGAGAGGAACTTAGTGACCAAGTCACTCCACAGCTTCGGGAGTCCCTCATTGGGAGCATAAACAGCTAACACTGTTTAACAAAACCCACTTTCCACAGTAATTCTCAAGTGCATGCATTTATGAATTTTAGTGTAAACTCAGTGAGTTGTTTATGTTTTAGAGGAACTGGTTTTACGCTCCTAAAGATAAACTGCCAACACAAATTAAATACAACAGCACAATCTTTATCTTACAGTTAGTTAGAAATGGCAGCAGTGGCTCTGGTTCTGTGTGTGTATCTTCTCTCAGTAGCCAGGCAAGGAGTGGTAGGAGACAAGGTGTACACTGTGGTGGCAAACCAGTCGGCCAGTAGCTGTCTCAGTGACAACAAGACAGAGTGCAGTCTCATGTACTATGCTGCTCACCCAGACCAGTATTTCAGAGAAGACAACACCACCTTCCACTTCCTGCCTGGACAACATGAACTGGTGGACTCAACTCTTGTTCTGATGGCCAACATATCAAACCTCGCTCTCTATGGAACTGATGTACATGAAGTTACAGTGGTGTGCAGTGGAGAAGATTCAGGAGGATTCTCATT